ATGACTATGTGCGTGTAAAGAAATGAATCAGAAATAATTTTACAAGGGTTTATTACAATAAAAAAGTTAGCAATGTGCAAGAATAAATAGAAAAATGGTAAAATGAGAAGACATCTATAGAAGTTTCGGCAATTAAGGACGATAAAGTGTGGCCTTCAGAGAAAAAAAGATAGCTTTATAAATAAGAGACAAGACAATTCTAAAAGTAGTTCTAAAGGTAGCTTTGATAATCAAAAGTTCGCTAAGAATAGCAATTAAAAAAATCTGGACAGCTAGACAAAATCTCATTAAATTCCCAGTTTGGTAAGTAAATAATGGTGTTAAGATCAATTGTGATGAGCTTGATATTATGAGAGAAATAGGGATGAGTTACAGAATATGAAAAAATAGTGAATGTAATACGTCATAAATCAGGGAAAGGACAAATTTGGCAATAAAGAGTAGGATTTTAGTTTTAATAATGATAAAAGTGCTGAAGAATGTGACCTTATGATAGATCACACAGTAATAATTACTATTGCATTAGAAGGAAATGGAGATATAATGCCCATAGTAGTGAAAATGGGAGGAATGATAATGGAAGCAAGGAAAACACCCACAGCAATATTAAGAAGCTTATGCAAGTGGGTAGGAGGTACTTGGAACTCAACCGGGAATAGCAGAGGCAGCTACAGAAACTAGATAGGCAAATTACCCAAAGTCCATCGTATTTAGCATGCACAATTTTTCCTTAGCCATACTAGTAACTATTCGACTTCAATTAAAATAAATACACACAAGCAGTAGAAAGGCTTAAATATCAAATTAAAATAACAGCTAAAGAGCACAAGCGAATAAACTCACATTTACCCTATGAGTGTGTGCTGGAATTCGTTAGCTAAACGCATATATATGCATATTCGAAACTAAATGCACAATTCAAATATGCTTAGACAAGCACCCATTCCCATATTCGTATTCACATAATAGCATATCCAGAAAAATTAGTCGGCATAAACATATGTAAGTATTTGTCAGCGCATCCATATTAGAACATGGAGCTGCATTGCAAAGTGCATTCGTAATTCTGTAGGCATATATACTAATACAACGCCAATTTAAAATACATTCAGATAAAAATCGAGCAAAATGCAGCGAACCAAGGTAAAAAATTAGAAACTAAGACGAATCAAAAGTACAAAGGACTATATGCCTTTACCACAATTTCAAGTCCAAAATCATAATTGTATTTGCATTTGGATAATTCTGCTAGTTCTTTACCAAAATCATATAAGCACTTAATAGGAACATACACATCTAACAAAACTCCCCATTTGACTCCAGTGCCAAATCTACCCACTTAACTATAGACTAGCTTCTCATGCTTGCATCAGTGTATCCACTAAGAAAACCA